CCCTCTTCCTCTTCCCTGGATCCGCCAGTGATTCCGTCGAATGAGTGAAGTATAAAACTCCATTAAAAAAGTTGAAATTAATTGAACAGAATATTGTTCATTTTACTCATAATCGCCGCACACTATGGTCCACTAATAAACAGTGAGACAAATGATCACGGTTGGAAAACCTGCGCGAAGTTATGTTTTGGTGGATGACAACCTCTCACCTCTTTTCCGTTTCCTCTTCCTCGTCGGCCTCCTCCGTACAACATTAACCGCTACACCCGAAAAGAATTAAAATTTAAATAAAATTCGATGAATTTTCTAGCTTTCGAAGTTTTCCCGAAAAATGAATATACAAACATCTTGGATTTTCGTTTGAAAAACTTTCGTCATAAATTCTTGAAATAATTCTTCGGGAGTTGTAAATCTAAAAAAGATTCACGAAATTTTCTAAAAATTCAAAATGATTGTGAATGGGTAAAATGGTTTACAGGTGAGAACGGTTATCCCGGATTTGCTGGAATTCCTGGAGCCAAGGGTGAACGCGGTGTATCGGGAATACCCGGGAAAGTTGGGCGGCCAGGACGAGTAGGAGAAGTTGGTGTACCAGGTCTTCCGGGGGCACGAGGAAAAGATGGTACACCCGGCAGGAACGGTTTACCTGGTTTTAAAGGCGAACGTGGTTTTGATGGATTACCGGGCTTACCTGGGGAAGTCGGAGCACCGGGCATTCCCGGAGCTCCCGGTGAAGATGGTTTTCCTGGTTTTCCGGGACTTAAAGGTGAACGTGGTGCAGATGGAGTTCCTGGACGGCCTGGTTACACTGGTGCACCCGGCGATCGTGCACTGGATGGGATACCCGGACTGCCGGGAGCTCCTGGAGAAACAGGTTTACCGGGTGTTCCTGGTCTAGAGGGACTTCCTGGATTGGCTGGAGCACCGGGTGACAGTGGCTTACCGGGTGCAAAAGGTATGCGGGGTGAACCCGGACGATTCGCACATGTGGGTCCACCAGGTGACATCGGCTTGCCGGGCCCGCAAGGTCCAGTCGGTTTACCGGGTCGGGATGGATTCCCGGGCGTTAAGGGAGAACGTGGTGCAGATGGATTCGGTTATGCGGGTCTACCTGGTGCGAAAGGCGCTGTTGGTGAGCCTGGCGCTGATGGTCTCGATGGAGCTGATGGTTTCCCCGGGTTGCCGGGAATGATCGGATTCCCAGGTTTGTCCTTTTTTTCTTGAAAAATTTTTTCTACACTATCAATTTTATGCGTTCGGGAATTTAGTTTAAAAATTGAATTAGCAATATTGCTCGAATAATCGGTTTGGGAAATCCCATGTTAATAATTTGGGTTCCTCTTTTTTTGGTCCTCATTA